TGACCCAAATATCAGAGTAACAAGGTTATCGCGAATAACCGAACTCAATTACGGGCTCGCCATAGCCCGTGCTACATGGACATTCCGTTCTGAGTAACTAAATCTAAAACAACAACAACAGCATGTAAAACATTACGGGCTATTCATGCCCGTGCCACCTTTTGGGTGGCGTAATCTATATTCATCATGTAAAACAGTCACAGCCCCGCTCCTGTGCCGGGTAAGTCCATTACGGGCTATCTTGAGATGATTTCGGGGCTTTTTTTTTTTTTTTAGTGTCCCCGCGGCCCGGTCCTCGACCAGGCCTCCACCCCCAGGAAGCAGCCCGTGACAGCTGACTAACCCCCAGGTACCTATTTTACTGCTAGGTAACAGGGGCATAGTGTGAAAGAAACTCTGCCCAATGTTTCTCGCCGGCGCCTGGGATCGAACCCAGGACCACAGGATCACAAGTCCAGCGTGCTGTCCGCTCGGCCGACCGGCTCCCGGCTCACCATAGCCCGTGCTACTTGGAACGTTTCGTTCTGAGTAGCTGAACCTAAAACAAACAGCATGTAAAATTAGTATACCTGTAACCCTAGTGTCAAAGTGTGTATTCCAGAAGATGTTACATTGTTGATGAAACATCGAAGAAATAAAATGGAATCTCCCAACCAAGGAGATTCAAGTTGGTCCAAGGAGTGCCGGACCAACCGGGCTGTGGTGGGTATGTGGGCCTGCGGGCCGCTCAAGTCGAGCCTGGCCTCGGGCCGGGCTTGGGGAGTAGAAGAACTCCCAGAACCCCATCAACCAGGTTAACCCTGCCACACACACACACACGCCCTCTCCCGCCAATGTAACCAAAAAAGTCGCACCTAAAATGCAAATCTGTCATCTGATCACATCTTTTTGAAAATCAATTTCACAATTCAATATTAAACTAGTGTAAAAGTCTATGGACTGAGCGCTGAACATTTCAGATCCACAAACTTCATGAAGGAGTCACTGGGGCCGTGCCTCCCGTTATGGGGGGCACGGGGACGACCCTCAACCTCCCAATAACCTGATAAACTAACCATTAATCCTGCTAAGCTCAATGAGACCAGCCTCATCAGCCTCGCCTCCATCCTTGTGCCTACTGACATTTCCTTCTATAGATATTAATACATATTGTAACTCAAAGCCACGTGTTGCATTTTTACATAACTGTAATGTGATTTTAATTGTATTAGCTGCACCAGCGACGCCCGGGCTTTTACCAGCACCGTGCTTAGTGTTAGGCTAATTTGTGTATTTTGTGATGTATCAATTATGACAGGTCGGGGTGACAGGCAGGGTGGGGGGAGGTAGGGTGAGGGGAGGTAGGGTGAGGGGAGGCAGGGTGAGGGGAGGTAGGGTGAGGGGAGGCAGGGTGTGGGCAGGCAGGGTGAGGGCAGGCAGGGTGAGGGGAGGCAGGGTGTGGGGAGGCAGGGTGTGGGGAGGCAGGGTGAGGGGAGACAGGGTGAGGGCAGGCAGGGTGAGGGCAGGCAGGGTGTGAGGAGGCAGGGTGTGGGGAGGCAGGGTGTGGGGAGGCAGGTTGTAGTGAGGGAGGGCAGGGTGAGGGAGGGCAGGGTGTGATCTTTATGCTTGCATTATAGTTTAAGCTGACGTTCGAATTTTTTGTTGAATCTGACCTTAAGGTTTTAGATGGAGGTGGCTTCCGCAACTTCTTCTCTCAGTGTATTGCACTTGTTCACCCCAAGCACCACCACACCCCAAGCACCACCACACCACCACCAACAACAATACACCACCACACCACCAGCACCAGCACCAACAACAATACACCACCACCATAAACACCACCACACCACCAGCACCACCACACAAGCACCACCACACAAGCACCACCACACGACCACCACCACCACACCAAGCACCACCACACGACCACCACCACCACACCAAGCACCACCACACCAAGCACCACCACACAAGCACCACCACACCCCAAGCACCACCACACGACCACCACCACCACCACACCAAGCACCACCACACCCCCAAGCACCACCACACAAGCACCACCACACAAGCACCACCACACAAGCACCACCACACCACCACCACCAACAACAATACACCACCACACAAGCACCACCACCACCACCAACAACAATACACCACCACACCACCACCACCACCAACAACAATACTCCACCACACCACCACCACCACCAACAACAATACACCACCACACCACCACCACCAACAACAACAATACACCACCACATCACCACCACCAGCACCAACAACAATACACCACCACCATAAACACCACCACACCACAAGCACCACCACACCACCACCACACCACCACCACCAGCACCAACAACAATACACCACCACCATAAACACCACCACACCCCAAGCACCACCACACCACCACCACACCACCACCACCACCACCAACAACAACAATACACCACCACCATAAACACCACCACACCACAAGCACCACCACACACCAAGCACCACCACACCACCACCACCACCACCAACAACAACAACAATACACCACCACCATAAACACTACACAGGTCGAGGACCGCGCCGGTAAAAATATTGTGTGTGTCGGCGCCACAATAGCTGCCGGATTACCTATCACTGTTTAAATATTAAATTTTCCATCATGCTTTATCACGGTGACATAAATTCTAAATCTGATAACTTCACCGGATTTGAATTTTTGACCCAAATGAAAACCCCGCGCCCGCTCAACCAGCTGTTGGAAAATGGCGGGAAAACAGGGGGAATATGGCGCGCCAGTGTCAATAATATAAACGGCCAGGAATGATTGCTGCCAACACGACAAAGGTCTTTGATCCATAAATCATTTAGGATCCGAATACACGATATTAATCCTTAAAAGCAGAGATTGCATGAGGGGCTTTAGGGATTTCAGCCAGTGCAGCTTTTGTAATTGTTGGTTGGGGGGTTTGAGGAGTGGCGATCTCCGCTGTTTTAAAAAGTCTGTCGAACCTTCCACAGATTTTCCTGCATTTTGACTTGTGCTTTTTTTTCCTAGTTTTTTGGTTTTGTTTATTATTTAATTTTTTGAGAGGATTATACTTTTTTGGGAGAGGAAGGGATGGGATGGGAAGTATTAAGGGAAAGTGACAGATTATTATTGAATATGAGAGAAAATGGTGAGAGCGATGATTGTAGCGCCAATCTTGCCCGTCCACTTTGGCTGGACGGTAGAGCGACGGTCTCGCTTCATGCACGTCGGAGTTCAATCCCCGACCGTCGAAGGGGTTGGAAACCATTCCTTCCTCCCCCGTCCCATCCCAAATCCTTATCCAGACCCCTTCCAAGTTCTATATAGTCGTAATGACTTGCCGCTTTTCCCTGATAGTTCCATTCTTCACTTAAGAACCTGAGGAGGAAGTTGAAAAATTAACTCTCCAAAGTTCGTTTTTTAGATTTATTCTCACCTGACGCTAAGAGACGCGTTTTCTTGACCCTTTGCAACATTTCCAAAGGCAGAGTAGAAGTGAACACACTGAAGGTGGTACAACCGTCTGTCTGAAGTGTCCTTCCTTCCTATTTTCTTACGGTGACTGGATCAGTGTGCTAGATGCTCCGTCTTGGTCTTCAAGATGGTGGAATGCAACTATTAGCTGGCTGTTGCCAGTTGGTGTAGGTTGTTGTGTAGTGCTTCGGCAATGCCTAATTACCGTTGGGTCAATGATTTCAGTGTTGTTTGTCAGGATGTCTCTGATGATGACCTGGATGTGTGTAGAGATGATTTGTTCTTTGACGGAGCCTTGTTGTTTGTGCATTGTCAGGCGCCTTGAAGGAGATGATGTTGTCTTGGTAAATATTAAGATCGTTGGGGGTAATAGGTCCCCACGTGGGCAAGTAGAGGCATAGACGACAATCGTCTCGTTCGTGGCTCCTTCCTTAGGTGTTCGGAAAGTTCTTCAAGAGCAAGTTGGCGCTCTTCTCGCTCTTCTCTGTATCTTTTTCTGACCGCAGTCGCCCGTTCACGGGACAGTATCAAGCTTGTGAGTCAGGATTTGCCATCTCTGCAACCATGCCGGTGTTGTGTTATGAGATCTCTTCTCTCCTGGTGTTTCTCTGACTTCTTTCTTGTGATCTTTTTTCCGTCACCTTGCGTGATATGCAAGAGTCACAGGTCTGTTGTTTAATGCTTCCTGTCTATTTCCCACTTTTTTGTATATTGGCACAACATTGGCTGTCTTTCAACTCTGTGGTAGCTCTCTTGAATGAGAGTGGACTCCTGTATATGGGTGGGACTCCTGTATATGGGTGGGACTCCTCTATGTGGGTGGGACTCCTGTATATGGGTGGGACTCCTCTATATGGGTGGGACTCCTGTATGTGGGTGGGACTCCTGTATATGGGTGGGACTCCTGTATGTGGGTGGGACTCCTGTATATGGGTGGGACTCCTCTATATGGGTGGGACTCCTGTATGTGGGTGGGACTCCTGTATATGGGTGGGACTCCTCTATATGGGTGGGACTCCTCTATATGGGTGGGACTCCTCTATATGGGTGGGACTCCTCTATATGGATGGGACTCCTCTATATGGATGGGACTCCTCTATATGGATGGGACTCCTCTATATGGGTGGGACTCCTCTATATGGGTGGGACTCCTGTATATGGGTGGGACTCCTCTATATGGGTGGGACTCTTCTATATGGATGGGACTCCTCTATATGGATGGGACTCCTCTATATGGGTGGGACTCCTCTGTATGGGTGGGACTCCTCTATATGGGTGGGACTCCCACAGGAAAGGTCCCCCAAGCCATTGAGTAAACTCTCACACAGGGTTAGGTGAATACCAGGTTTTATATAGACCTTACTGTTGGTTTACAGCAATGTATACTGCAAGCATGGATTGCATGTATAGACCTTCCTGCTAGTTTACAAAAGTTTACATGCTTGTGTATATACTACAAGCATGGATTGTAAAGTGTCTGAAAATCCGTCTAACATTAGTTTATTTCTTAGAAGCGTGGTATACCTGAGAGTGTAAGGGGGATGTCATTAACGCTCCTTGAGGCTGCAGGTGTGTCATGAACGGTGCCTGGGGCTGCAGGTGTGTCATCAACGGTCCCCGGGGCTGCAGGTGTGTCATCAACGGTCCCCGGGGCTGCAGGTGTGTCATCAACGGTCCCCGGGGCTGCAGGTGTGTCATCAACGGTCCCCGGGGCTGCAGGTGTGTCATCAACTGTCCCTGGGGCTGCAGGTGTGTCATCAACGGTCCCCGGGGCTGCAGGTGTGTCATAAACGGTCCCCGGGGCTGCAGGTGTGTCATCAACGGTCCCTGGGGCTGCAGGTGTGTCATCAACGGTCCCTGGGGCTGCAGGTGTGTCATCAACGGTCCCTGGGGCTGCAGGTGTGTCATCAACGGTCCCCGGGGCTGCAGGTGTGTCATCAACGGCCCCTGGGGCTGCAGGTGTGTCATCAACGGCCCCTGGGGCTGCAGGTGTGTCATCAACGGTCCCTGGGGCTGCAGGTGTGTCATCAACGGTCCCTGGGGCTGCAGATGTGTCATCAACGGTCCCTGGGGCTGCAGGTGTGTCATCAACGGTCCCTGGGGCTGCAGGTGTGTCATCAAAGGTCCCCGGGGCTGCAGGTGTGTCATCAACGGTCCCTGGGGCTGCAGGTGTGTCATCAAAGGTCCCTGGGGCTGCAGGTGTGTCATCAACGGTCCCTGGGGCTGCAGGTGTGTCATCAAAGGTCCCTGGGGCTGCAGGTGTGTCATCAACGGTCCCTGGGACTGCAGGTGTGTCATCAACGGTCCCCGGGGCTGCAGGTGTGTGGCATGATTGACAGGGGTGAGGGGGGGTGTTCATCAATGCTCCGTGCCTCGCCGGAAGCTCCCCAGCTGCCGTCTGTGTGTGACACACAGGATGGAGCAGACTCTCCGCGCATACCATATGATCTACCATGCCACTACTCTGATAGGTCACTACTTGCCTCCTACCATACTACCGTCTACTATAGTGCTACTCTGATAGGTCACTACTTGCCTCCTACCACACTACCGTCTACTATAGTGCTACGCTGGTAGGTCACTACTTGCCTCCTACCATACTACCGTCTACTACGGTGCTACTCTGATAGGTCACTACTTGCCTCCTACCATACTACCGTCTACTATAGTGCTACTCTGATAGGTCACTACTTGCCTCCTACCACACTACCGTCTACTATAGTGCTACTCTGATAGGTCACTACTTACCTCCTACCATACTACCGTCTACTATGGTGCTACTCTGATAGGTCACTACTTACCTCCTACCATACTACCGTCTACTATGGTGCTACTCTGATAGGTCACTACTTGCCTCCTACCATACTTCCGTCTACTATGGTGCTACTCTGATAGGTCACTACTTACCTCCTACCATACTACCGTCTACTACGGTGCTACGCTGGTAGGTCACTACTTGCCTCCTACCATACTACCGTCTACTATAGTGCTACTCTGATAGGTCACTACTTGCCTCCTACCACACTACCGTCTACTATAGTGCTACTCTGATAGGTCACTACTTACCTCCTACCACACTACCGTCTACTATAGTGCTACTCTGATAGGTCACTACTTGCCTCCTACCATACTACCGTCTACTATGGTGCTACTCTGATAGGTCACTACTTACCTCCTACCATACTACCGTCTACTATAGTGCTACTCTGATAGGTCACTACTTGCCTCCTACCATATTACCGTCTACTATAGTGCTACTCTGATAGGTCACTACTTACCTCCTACCACACTACCGTCTACTATGGTGCTACTCTGATAGGTCACTACTTACCTCCTACCACACTACCGTCTACTATGGTGCTACTCTGATAGGTCACTACTTGCCTCCTACCACACTACCGTCTACTATAGTGCTACTCTGATAGGTCACTACTTGCCTCCTACCACACTACCGTCTACTATAGTGCTACTCTGATAGGTCACTACTTGCCTCCTACCATACTACCGTCTACTATAGTGCTACTCTGATAGGTCACTACTTACCTCCTACCACACTACCGTCTACTATAGTGCTACTCTGATAGGTCACTACTTGCCTCCTACCATACTACCGTCTACTATAGTGCTACTCTGATAGGTCACTACTTGCCTCCTACCATACTACCGTCTACTATAGTGCTACTCTGATAGGTCACTACTTGCCTCCTACCATACTACCGTCTACTATAGTGCTACTCTGATAGGTCACTACTTGCCTCCTACCACACTACCGTCTACTATAGTGCTACTCTGATAGGTCACTACTTGCCTCCTACCATACTACCGTCTACTACGGTGCTATGCTGGTAGGTCACTATCACATACCATACGATCTACGACTTTGATAGGTCGCGACCAACCACCACCTACCTTACGGTTTAGCATGGTACTATTCTTGGTAGTAGCAAGAGTAGATCACTTCAACTCTTACCGTAGTACCGTCTACCGTCCACCTGGTCTGGACGGTAGAGCGACGATCTACTCTCTTTCAGGTCGGTGATGGGATGGTATATCTTGCCTCGGTTATAATAGAATTCTATGACCAGGCGACAAAAGATAAACAAAGACAAAGAATGATGAACAGACCATACTTTTGGACTGCCAGAAAGCCTTTGACACAGTTCCCCATTGGGCAAGTTGAAGGAGCTGGTATGAGTGACAGAGCAAGGAGCTCCAGTGGATAAGAGAGTACCTAAGCGACAGAAGACAGTGAGTCACTGCCAGGGATGAGGTCTCGGAGTGGCGTGATAGCGGAGTCCCACAGGGGAGCTATGGACCTATCCTGTTTCTCATAGTTCAACCGCCTTATACTGTACGTGGTACGTTGCTCACCCCCGGGGGACGGGCTCACCATAGCCCGTGCTACTTGGCACTTTATGTTCCAAGTAGTTGAATCTATAACAACATACCCCCCCCCCGGGTGTTTGGTGGTCATACTGCCTCTCGGTTAAACGACCTTCCAGAGGGAATAGACTCATTCAAGGTTCATTCAGAACCTTGTGTGTCATAAGGGTCTATGCGTCCATATCATGTCAAGCACAAATCGAAATTAACAAAAAAAATGTTCTAGATTTGTCTCAGAACTGACTTATGAGAAAAGGCTTCAGAACAAAAAAAGTCAGAGAGACATGATTACCACATACAAAATTCTCGCGGAAATTAATAGGATAGATAAAGCCAGACAGTTTAACATGATGGTACTCGCGCATGGGGACACAGGTGGAAACTTTGTACCCAAATGAGCCACAGAGACATTACAAAGAACTTTGTCAGTCTCAAGAGTAGTTAATAAATGGAATGCATTAGGCAGTGATGTGGCAGAGGCTGACTCCATACACAGTTCCAAATGTTGACATGATAGAGAACAATTGGCTTCACCAGTTGATTATCTGTTGAGAGGCGGGACCAAAGAGCCGAAGCTCAACCCCGGAAGGACAACTAGGCAAGTACACACACACACACACACACACACACAAGGGGAACACGCACAAGGGGACACAGGTGGAAACTGAGTGCCCAAATGAGCCACAGAGATATTAGAAAGAACTTTTTTAGTGTCAGAGTGGTTGACAAATGGAATGCATTAGGAAGTGATGTGGTGGAGGCTGACTCCATACACAGTTTCAAGTGTAGATATGATAGAGCCCGAAATGCTCAGGAATCTGTACACCTGTTGATTGACGGTTGAGAGGCGGGACCAAAGAGCCAGAGCTCAACCCCCGCAAACAACTAGGTGAGTACAACTAGGTGAGTACACACACACACACAAATTTACACTTATAGCCTACTAACATACATCCATACTCATGTTGCATACTGATACACATATATATACAGTAAACATATTCTACTGGTATTCATTCATACACATGTATAGCCTGTGTGATACACATAATGCATATATATACACATGTTTAGAGGTAATCTTTAGCTCTGCTGAAAACTAATATGGAAAGTGGCCTGGTATTGTTGTTTTTTAATACATGGGAACTGTTCATAGGCTGAGAGAGAGAGAGAGAGAGAGAGAGAGAGAGAGAGAGAGAGAGAGAGAGAGAGAGAGAGAGAGAGAGAGAGAGAGAGAGAGAGAGAGAGAGAGCCAGCCTAGCCTACCAACACTACTGTTTATTGGGGATTACGTGACCGATATAAAAATGACATATATCATTCTGACCTCAATTTATTATAAATGATTCCATAAAGTGGTAGAGAGAGAGAGAGAGAGAGAGAGAGAGAGAGAGAGAGAGAGAGAGAGAGAGAGAGAGAGAGAGAGAGAGAGAGAGAGAGAGAGAGCATCCACAAAACCGGTTAAAAATACATATTTTAACTCGATTCTCAAATCAGGATTGATACATTATATATATATATATATATATATATATATATATATATATATATATATATATATATATATATGTATATATATATATATATATATATATATATATATATATATATATATATATATATAAATATATATATATATATATATATATATATATATATATATATATATATATATATATATATATATATATATTGATTGACATATATAATATGTCAATTCATGAATTTAGTCTTTTAATCCATATTTGTATTTCATTTGTAAATTCCTGCGCTGTGTGTGGGAAGTAATATAACTATATGTGGACGAGAATAGGATTTATAGAGATTTATGTGTTAGCTTTGATGGTGGTAGTGGTGGTGGTGGTGCTGGTAGTGGTGGTTGTGGTGCTGGTAGTGGTGGTTGTGGTGCTGGTAGTGGTGGTTGTGGTGCTGGTAGTGGTGGTTGTGGTGCTGGTAGTGGTGGTTGTGGTGGTTGTGGTGGTGGGTAGTGGTGGTTGTGGTAGAGGGTAGTGGTGGTTGTGGTGGTGGGTGTGGTGGTTGTGGTGGAGGGTAGTGGTGGTTGTGGTAGAGGGTAGTGGTGGTTGTGGTGGTTGTGGTGGTTGTGGTGGAGAGGGCAGTGGTGGTTGTGGTGGAGAGGGTAGTGGTGGTTGTGGTGGAGAGGGCAGTGGTGGTTGTGGTGGAGAGGGCAGTGGTGGTTGTGGTGGAGAGGGCAGTGGTGGTTGTGGTGGAGTAGTGGTGGTTGTGGTGGAGGGTAGTGGTGGTTGTGGTGGAGGGTAGTGGTGGTTGTGGTGGAGGGTAGTGGTGGTTGTGGTGGAGGGTAGTGGTGGTTGTGGTGGAGGGTAGTGGTGGTTGTGGTGGAGGGTAGTGGTGGTTGTGGTAGAGGGTAGTGGTGGTTGTGGTGCTGGTAGTGGTGGTTGTGTGTGCTGGTAGTGGTGGTTGTGGTGCTGGTGCTGGTAGTGGTGGTTGTGGTGCTGGTAGTGGTGGTTGTGGTGCTGGTAGAGTGGTTGTGGTGCTGGTAGTGGTGGTTGTGGTGCTGGTAGTGGTGGTTGTGGTGCTGGTAGTGGTGGTTGTGGTGCTGGTAGTGGTGGTTGTGGTGCTGGTAGAGTGGTTGTGGTGCTGGTAGTGGTGGTGGTGGTGCTGGTAGGATGGTTGTGGTGCTGGTAGAGTGGTTGTGGTGCTGGTAGTGGTGGTTGTGGTGATGGTAGTGGTGGTTGTGGTGCTGGTAGAGTGATTGTGGTGCTGGTAGAGTGGTTGTGGTGCTGGTAGTGGTGGTTGTGGTGCTGGTAGAGTGATTGTGGTGCTGGTAGGGGTGGTGGTGGTGATAGTAGTTTTGGAGGCGATAGTGATATTGCTGGTAGCTTTATTGGTGAAGCTTGAGTGAAGGTGGAGGCAGCAGCGAAGTAGTGTCTGAGGTCCTGAAAGAATGTAAGCAAGAGCTAGGTCAACCCCCTTTGACAAACACATAATATACAAATC